GAAACCTTCAGAGACTTTCCATGGGGTGGAAATTACCTCCTGGCTTCCAGCAGTGCTGGAATCCAACCATCAGGAGCGAGGGGTGCTATTATTTTAGAGAGAGAAAGGAGCACTTAAGTTCGCTCTTAAAATTAATCCTTGTTTTTTTGGCAAATTTTCTCTCCTGGAAAGGAACCCACATCAGTAAGAAGTGGTCAGTGTGCTCCTAGTTTAAAAAAAAAAGCAGTAGAAATAATAATAATAATAATAAAAAGGTAGATGTCATACAGAGTGCTGCTATTTATACAGCAGCTGAAGAATGCAGGGCCAGGTTAGTCCTTGCTGAGGTCTCACAGTTCTGGGTTGCCTTGCATATTAAACTCTTCTAAAAAGAAGACAGAATGGAGAAAATAGTGGATGGGGTTCTTTCCTTCTGTTGTGTGTTGTTTACATGATCTTGACATGTTTGCCTTGTGCATGGTCTGCACTATCCCATGTGGCCTTCAGCATCAGTGATGGCTCATTGGTAGAGAAGTTATGCTGGGAGTACAGCACAGCACAGAGGAAGCAGTCTAGGAGGTTTCTGGAATGCGTAGAGGACAACTTCCTGATACAGCTGGTCAGAGAGCCCACGAGAGGAACTGCCCCACTAGACCTGCTGTTCACAAACAGGGAAGGTTTGGTGGGAGATGTGGAGGTTGGAGGCTGTCTTGGACAGAGTGATCATGAAATGATAGACTTCGTGATTCATGGTGGAGCCTGGAGGGGGAATAGTAATACTGCTACCTTGGACTTCAGGAGGGCGGACTTTGAATTGTTCAGGGGACTAATAGGGGGAATCCCCTGGCATTCAGTCTTTGCGAGCAAAGGGGTCCAAGAGAGCTGGTTGCTCTTCAAGAAGGAAGTCTTAAGGGCGCAGGAGCAGGCAGTCCCCCTGAGCTGCAAAATGAGCCGGCGGGGAAGAAGACCGGCGTGGATGAATAGGGAGCTATTCCTGAGGCTCCGGGAGAAAAAGAGAATCTACCGCCTGTGGAAAGAGGGACAGGCCACTCAAAATGAATACAGGGAAGTTGTTAGGATGTGTAGAGGTGAAATCAGAAAGGCAAAAGCCCAGCTTGAATTTAACCTAGCCGCTGGTGTGAAAAGGAATAAGAAACTCTTTTATAAATACATTAACAGTAAGAGGAGGACAAAGGAGAATATCCACTCTTTGCTGGATGAGGCTGGGAATGTGACCACTGAGGATAAGGAAAAGGCGGAGGTTCTGAATGCCTTCTTTACGTCTGTCTTTAAAAGTCAGACCAGTTATCCTCAGGATACTCCTCTCTCTGACCTGGTAATCTCGGTTGGGGAGCACACTAACCCCCCTGTGACTCTGAAAGAAACAGTCAGAGACCTACTGCTCCAGCTGGACTGTCACAAGTCGATGGGGCCAGATGAGATCCACCCGAGAGTGCTGAGGGAACTGGCGGAGGTGACAGCCGAGCCGCTTTCCATCATCTGTCAGCGCTCCTTGTTGACTGGTGAGGTCCCAGAAGACTGGAGGCTTGCCAACGTGACTCCCATTTATAAGAAAGGTCGTAAGGAGGATCCGGGGAACTACAGGCCTGTCAGCCTGACCTCGGTGCCAGGGAAGGTTATGGAGCAGATCGTCTTGAGGGAGATCATGCGGCATGTGCAGGGTGAGCGGGGGATCAGGCCTAGCAGCATGGGTTCATGAAGGGCAGGTCCTGTTTGACCAACCTGATCTCCTTCTATGATCTAGTGACCCATCTGGTGGATGAAGGAAAGGCTGTTGATGTGGTCTACCTAGACTTCAGCAAAGCCTTTGGCACTGTCTCCCACAGCATTCTCCTGCAGAAGCTGGCAGCCAGAGGCTTGGATGGGTACACTCTTGGCTGGGTGAGGAGCTGGCTGGAGGGCCGGGCACAGAGAGTGGTGGTGAATGGAGTCAAATCCAGCTGGCGACCGGTCGTGAGTGGTGTTCCCCAGGGGTCGGTGCTGGGGCCTGTCCTCTTCAATATCTTTATTGATGACCTGGATGAGGGCATCAAGTGCACCCTCAGTAAATTCGCAGATGACACCAAATTGGCTGGAAGTGTGGATCTGCCTGGGGGTAGCGAGGCCCTACAGAGGGATCTGGACAGGCTGGAGAGCTGGGCTGGAGCCAATGGGATGAGTTTCAACAAGGCCAAATGCCGGGTCCTGCACTTCGGCCACAACAACCCCAGGCGACGCTACAGGCTTGGGGCGGTGTGGCTGGAGGACTGCGTAGAGGAAATGGACCTGGGGGTATTGATTGATGCTCGGCTGAACATGAGCCGACAGTGTGCCCAGGTGGCCAAGAAGGCCAATGGCATCCTGGCTTGCATCAGAAACAGTGTTGCAAGCAGGAGCAGAGAAGTGATTGTTCCCCTATATTCAGCACTGGTGAGGCCGCACCTCGAGTACTGTGTCCAGTTTTGGGCCCCTCACTGCAAGAAAGATATTGAGGCCCTGGAACGTGTTCAAAGGAGGGCAACAAAGCTGGTGAGGGGTCTGGAACACAGGGCTGATGAGGAAAGGCTGAAGGAGCTGGGAATGTTCAGCCTGGAGAAGAGGAGGCTCAGGGGAGACCTTATTGCTCTCTATAACTTCCTGAAGGGAGGTTGTAGTGAGCTGGGGGTCGGCCTCTTCTCTCGTGTCATTAGTGATAGGACCAGGGGGAATGGTTTCAAGCTACGGCAGGGGAGATTCAGGCTGGACATGAGGAAGTATTACTTTTCAGAAAGGGTGGTCAGGCACTGGAATGGATGCCCAGGGAGGTGGTGGAATCACGACCCTGGGGGTGTTCAAGGAAAGACTGGATGTTGTGTTGAGGGACATGGTTTAGTAGGAGCTATTGGGAATAGGTGAACGGTTGGACTGGGTGATCTTTTAGGTCTTTTCCAACCTTGGTGATTCTATGATTCTATGATTCTGTAAGTTTGGATAGGAGGAGCAGTGTTCAGTTGCAAAGAAATCTGGAGAAATAGTGTGTTCCTTATCCAGCCCTACTTACTAAGGTCCTGACCTCTTTATCAGGGATTCGGAAGTGAATGTCTGACATGGAGAGCAGTCCTGATCCCCCTCTACAGATAATGACAACTATGCCAGGATGGATGAATGAAATGAGCCTCACCTTGCTAATGAAGGAGGCAAATCTGCTGGTGAGGGCTTTGATCTGATCCTTCTTCTCCCAGCGCACTCACTGCACTGGGGCTGATCTGCAAGTTAATACTGACCAGGAGGTTTGGGTTGACCACAATCCTTTGAATACCTGCGGGGCCACATCTTCCAAACCCAAACCCTCCATCACTCACACTATGGTTGCACCCTGACCTGGCAGCGCAGTGCCCTCTGCTCCTGGAAATCCTCTTGCTTGCTTCCCCTTGGGCTGGGCAGGCTCCTGCAGCCAAATCCACTGCAGATCCATCCCACACTTCCCCCATTGCTGTGGGACGTGGAGATGGAGCTGAAGATGCCTTGAGCAATGGGCACAGTGCGGAAACGGCACCAAACCCCTCAGTGGTCCTGACCTTGGCTGGCTGACTTCAGTGTGGCTGCAGAGGGATGAGATGGCAGAGGGACAACGATCTCCAGGTTTGGCTCTGAAGTGATCCCTGCCTTAAATCCTTCTGTGTTCTGGGCTTGTGCAAAAGGCTGGGTGGTGAAATCATGGAATCATTAAGGCTGGAAAAGACCACTAAGATCATCAAGTCCAACCATCAAGCCATCAGCACTATGCCCACTAACCCATGTAGCTCAGTGCCACACAAAGTGTATCAGCTCTCAGCGCCGCACCTGGCCACATTTCCAGCTCATTAATCACCCAACTCTCTGGTGTACCATGTTGGCAACCTCAAGGCTCATAGAACTACCCAAACTTTCCAGCCTGTATTTTTCAGGGTGCTGATGTCTGCTGGGAAAATATGTAAAGATGTTGAAAACACCAATTTGATGGCTTTGCTAAGGGAAACCTGGCTTTACTCCCAGGAGTAACATGTGGTCGAGGCAAGGGGCAGCTGGAGGTGATGGTTTGATCCTCTTCTTTGCAAGCATGACTTCTTGTGATGAAGGGGATAGTTTGGGAGGCACTTCTGCCCTTCTGCTTGCTACAGGAGAAGCCTGGGTGCTTTGCTTGGCCATAATGCTGGATGCTGAGGTATCTACATTTAAAAGGCATGCTGGCTGTAGGTGCCTTTTTGCTGCTGGATAGTGTTTGCATGGCCTCCAGCAAGCCAAATTCTGTTCTGTGAGTGTCAGTGAAATCATGTCCAGAAATGCCAAAGATGGAATGGCAGGCATTAGAGAATGGGCCATTTCCTTGTGGTAGAGCACTGTTGTGCTCACATCTGGAGGATTAATGAGAAACTGGGTTTTCTATCACTTTCTCTTGGCCAGGAGTTGATCAGTGAGTCACGGTTGCCTCCAGTGGCTCTTCCCTAAAAGGTTGTTTGGGGCTTTTGAGTTTTTGCAGTTTCTAATTATGGTGGTACCAATGACAGCATTTTATTAATCCCTGCAGCTATTGCATGTACAGAACACATGGGCTGAACTTCTTGGGAAAACTGAATTATGTCCCTGCATGAGTCATCACATAGAAACCTGAAAAATTACAGGGTTTTGGGGGTGATCAAGCTGGCATGACACTGGTGAGATGCCACAACAGAAATTAGGATAGAGGGATGACATAAATTAGGACAGAGGAATGTTTTCTCTGGTGTATGGAGGCAAGAGTTAGAAATTTCCCTTTCCCTTGGAAGCTGATGCCAAAAAATCTTGCTGCACAAATGGGAATGGGGCATCCCCAGTCCTTGTTCCCTGCTGAACGTAAGTGACTGCCATGGAAGGAGAGATCACAACTGTTATGTGTGTGACTTGTGTTCACCTTCTGCTAAAGAGATGATAGTGCCACCATGGCTGTGTAAAGTCATTGAAATTAAAAGGAGAATGCAACGGAATGAATTTCATATGCCTTTTATTAGACAAACACTGGGAGGTGAGGCTTTCGGAGCATGTAAGAACAAACAGGAGCAAGGCATTTGCATAAATAAGGGCAGACAACTTGGAATTCCAAACCTTTTGCAAGTAATGGGGTAAGGACTGCACACAACATGAGGGAAAGAGTGGCACGCAGCTGCTGGACTTCAGTAGCATCTCTTGGTCGAAGAGCTGCTGATGTACTGCATGCTGGAGCTGCTTCCACCGACCACACATGACCCAGCTGTGCCTTGTCCACTTCCAGAGCTGAAGCCCATTCCTCCAGCACAGAGCCCAGCTCCAGCCCCACTGCTGCCTCTGAAGCTCTGGCAGCTCCCACTTCCGTATCCCGACCCTACAGCAGTTCTGGTCACAGCTGCAAGAAAAGAACACACTTGTCAGAGGCACCCACAAACAGTTGGACAGAGCAGCTGGCAGACAGATGGAAAAGTCACAAAACTGCCTTTGGAAAGTACTTACAGATATTCACTGCACCAGCACCTTCTCCAGAGAGCCTGGAATTGAGCAAAAGAAGACATTTAAAGCATTTAAGGGGAAACCATGAACAAGATGTGCTTGAAAAGCCAACAGAACATATGTAAAATATTGCTGGGGGAAGATGCAGATCTTGCAACTGCACAGCTTGATTTCACCCACCTGCACTCCTCGCCCTCCAGCAGCTTCCTGTAGGTTGCAATCTCAATGTCCAGGGCCAGCTTGACGTTCATCAGCTCCTGGTACTCGCGCAGCTGCCTGGCCAGGTCTGCCTTTGCTTGCTGCAGGGCTGCCTCCAGCTCAGCCAGTTTGTCCCTGGCATCCTTCAGGGCCAGCTCCCCACGCTGCTCAGCATCTGCGATGGCTGTCTGCAAGCTGGCACACTGGGAAGGAAAAACAGTGGCTGAATTCCCCATCTAGAGCATAGAGCAGTTTGTTTCACCCTACAGCCAGGATGCATGGCCATAGGTGCAGAAAGCTTTGAATTAATTAATTCTCAATCCAGCACAACACTGAGGTGCATTTATAGTTTTTTGCTGGACTTGATGGAGTCTTTGCATTAGAACTGTACCTGTTTCTTCACGCTGTCAATCTCAGCCCGCAGCCGCTGGACGTGGCGGTTGAGCTCAGAGATCTCCTGCTTGGTGCTGCGGAGGTCGTCCCCGTGCCTGCCTGCAGTAGCCTGCAGCTCTTCATACTGCCAGGGAGAGGAGCAGAGGTCAGGGCAGAATCCAGCATTGTAGAGGTTAAAGCAGCATGTGAGTATCATATCATAGAATCATGGGATGTTTGGGTTGGAAGGGTCCTTCAAGGTCATAGAACCATGGGATGTTTGGGTTGGAAGGGTCCTTCAAGGTCATAGAACCATGGGATGTTTGGGTTGGAAGGGACCTTCCAGATCATGGAACCATAGGATGATTGGATTGGACAGTATGGTCCTAAAAGATCATAGAACCATAAGACATTTGGGTTGGAAGAGTCCATCAAGGTCATCAAACCATAGGATGGTTGAGTTGGAGGGGTCCTAAAAGATCACAGAACCATTGAATGGTTGGGTTGGAAGACTCCTTGAAGATCATATAGAGCCATGTAATCATAGCATGGCTTGGGTTGGACCCCATGGCTCTAAGGACCCCCCCAAACCCCACCCCTGCCCTGGGCTGCTCCCTCCCCTCCATCAGACCAGGGCCCCATCCATGGACTTGAGCACCTCCAGTCATGGGGCACCCACACATCTCAGGGCAGCAGTGCTAGGGTCTCACCATCTTTTGAGTAAAGAATTTCCTTCCCACTTTCACCCTTTTATCTTAAACCTCACTTTCCCCCTTTTATCTTAAATCCAATTTCCCTTGTCCTGTCACTATCAGATAAAGTAGTATTTCAGCTCGGAGGTGTGTGTCTCTTTTCAATCCCAAACCAGCACTTAGAGCTTTATGGGTTTGTTAAATCTAAAGGCATCCTCTGCTGTAAAAGTCCCAGTAGAACCTACTGTTGGAGAGCTGGGGGAGGCAGCATGGTTTACCCTTTGCAGAACCCATCCTGGGCACTCACCCTGGACTGGTACCAGGACTCAGCCTCCTCCCGGCTGCGCTTGGCGATGTCCTCATACTGCGCCTTCACCTCAGCAATGATGCTGTCCATGTCCAGCCTGCGGTTGTTGTCCATGGTCAGGATGACGGAGGTGTCGGAGATCTGGCTCTGCAGCTGAGACAGCTCCTGCCAAAGCAGTGGGGGTTGCGTGAGTCACTACAGGGCACATCTCTTATTCCAGGCCCCAACGAAGGACAGAGCTGTGTTTACAAAGTGATTTTTCTTCCATGAATCTTCTAGGAAGGGCTACTACAGCAGGTGAGATGGAATAAGTGTGGAGGTACGTAGTACAACAGAGTGGAAAATAATCCATCCCGAGCTACAGAGGTAGGAAAAGGAAGCAAAGGTGTTAGAAAATGGGCAGGACATGAAGGTCCTGGGAAGGTGCTTACAGCTTCATAGAGGGCTCTGAGGAAGTCTATCTCCTCCAGGAGGGCATCTCGCCTGGCTTGCAGCTCTGTCTTGGTCATATAGGTAGAATCCACCTCCTAGGGGAAGAAGCACAGCACAGGAATGGAGCTGTTTCCAGAGGAGAAGCTGCAGTGTTTCTTGCAGCAGCTGAGCAGCAGTGGGAGGTGCAGCATGCATGCACCCACCTTCTTCAGAACCACAAACTCATTCTCGGCAGCTGTGCGCTTGTTGATCTCCTCTTCATATCTGCGGGATGGACATGGAGGGTTGTTATGGGCTTATGCAGAAGTTTTGTGTTTGTAGGACCTGGCTCAACTTTCTTTAGAGGAACAGCTTGGTACTTTGGTCTCCTAGCCCTATAGCTTTCTGCCTCTGAGTTTCTGCCATGGGGCTGTGTGCGTCACGTATGCAAACTTAACCCTGGGCATTTATATCAGAAAAATAAGAATAATTTTAAAAGGCCTTTCTTCCTTGTTGGACTGCACAGGTGCAATGGAGCCCTGCCCAGCCTACTCACCAAGCAGACCCCAAACAAAGACTTACTTGCTCTTGAAGTCCTCAGCCAGACTCTGCACCTTGCTCAGCTCCCCACCCAGATTCTCCTTGTCAGCCAGCAAGTTGCTCAGCTGCCTCCTGAGGTTGTTGATGTAAGCCTCAAAGAGGGGCTCAACGTTGTTTCTGACTGTTTTGTGCCCCTGTTCTTGCAGAAGGGCCCACTTGGTCTCCAGGACTTTGTTTTCTTGCTCAAGGAACCGGACCTGGAATGAGAAAGCAGCAACTTCAGAAGTAGCTTGACTTTAGGATGGTTTTCCCTATCTCTGCTTCCCTACATCCCAAAGCACCATTTCCCCTCTGCTGCTCTCATTATGTGGGATGAAAGAATGGTCTCAAACCAAACAATCCTCGGGTTTTATTCCCTGGCTGCTGCTGATAGAAATGGCTTTGCATCAAAAGCAGCACGGCTAATACAACTTGCCCTTCTTTGTGCTTCTCCACTAAAGAATCAGCATGGCACAGCCCAGAAATCTCATGACTCACCTTGTCAATGAAGGAGGCAAATTTGTTGTTGAGGGTTTGGATCTGTTCCTTCTCTTCCTTACGGATGCTCTGGATGCTGGGATCGATCGCCAGGTTGAGGGGCTTCAGAAGGCTCTGGTTGATGGAGACCTCCTGGATGCCTCCAGTGGGGACAGCAGGGAATCCAGGGCCACCCATGCCCCCACCAAACCCAAAAGCACCACCAAACCCACAGGAGAACCCAGTGCCAGCACCAAACCCTGCAGGTCCATAGAATCCACTGCCCCTTCCAGCCATAGAGATCCTCTTGCATCCACCAACGCTGTAGAGGCTTCTGCTCCCAAAACCTCCTCCAAATCCTCCATACCCCACAGCAGTGCCGCAGCTTCCACCTTGAGCTATGGAGCGCGAGACAAACCCGGTGCTACAGGCACTTGGGATGAAGGCAGACGCAGCACTGAAGCCAGTCCGGCCCTGGTTCCTCACGGTGCACTGACGAGACATCGCAGCCAACGGGAGAGATTGGAGGAGCAAAGCAGCGAGGATGTGGAGGAGTGCAGCGAGATGAGGTTGTGCTCCCTGGCCTGGGGTTGGCCCTTTTATCCCCTTACGAGCTGGGGGTGGGTTTGGTGTGCTGCTCACCAGACTGATTAACCAGGCTTGGCACGCCTCGCCGCGATGCCAGTCACCCGCAAAGTTGCAGCTGTTGCATTTTTTGGGACAGTCATGGTCTGGCTGTTGAAATATCTGTAAAAACACCAAAGGCTGCTCACAGCCACCCCTTCCCCACTCCTTTCTGCAGCGCATTGTCCGCGTTGGGCAAGCGCTCGCTCATCTCTATTTCATGGGTGAATCAGTCACTCCCTTGCGTCAAAGCGCATTTTTTCACTTTGCAGCTCTCTGCGAAGGGTGGGAAATCTCTGATTGTGGATCTGTGTTTTCCTGCTGCTGAGATTCTGAGTAAAGCCATCAGCATCAGCACCTCGGGTCTCAACTTGTTGGGTATTCTGGGCTTTTCTTCTCATGCCTGAATGTGGCATTTAACTTGAGATGATAGGAGAAAGGAAGAAAGAGGTGGTGGACAAAGCCAATGTGTCAGTGGGCACTGATGGAAATCTTGGACCATCAGCTTTGGAAAACCATGTGGAGAATGGCAGGACATGCAAGTTGCTTAGTGAACAATACCTTCAGACCTTTTCTTTCTGTGAAATGAATCTGCAAATCATGCTGATTCAGACTGACAACAAATGATGAAATATTACGGCGTGAGCTGGGAGGGAGCTCCTGCCGGCAGTGACGGCACAGCCTGAGCTGGTGATTCTGCACAGCTTCACCTCACAGATGCTGAGCCTAACTGATGAGTGACCGTGCCCTTACCCAGCCTGTTCCCAGGCTCTCCTCCCCACATCTCTTCTCTTCCCCTTTCGATAACTCTTAGTCACCAGGAAATTCAGTGCCGGGGATCTGCTTTTGTGGCATTGTTCTCAGCCAACTCCCTCCACTCCAATTTGTCAGAGTTCCCAGGAAATGCCAATAATGCACTTTTTCAACAATCCACGCTGTCCTCTGTGCCCTGCACTGTAGCACTGTGTGCGTGGAAACCTGTCCTGGAGATGCTCCAAGGCCACTCCTGGTGTCTGCTCTTTGTGCCCAGCAATTTCCAGGGCCAGAAATAACTCAAGTGCTTTTGGCCAGAATGTCCCTGGGGATGATTTGCAGATGCTCATCATCTCTGTTTTTCAGCCATACTCTTCCCTTCTTTTCTTCTCCCATTTCCCCTTTTTCTCCCCTTTCTTCTTATTTTTTTCCCCTTTTCCTCTTATTTTTTTTTCCCCATTCTCTCTTTCTTTTTCTATCACTTCCCCTTCTTTTTTCTGCCTTTTCCCTTTCTTCTTTCCTCTTCTCTCCTTCTTTCTCCCTTCCTTTCCCCTTCTTTTTTCCTCTTTTTCCTCTCCTTTTTCTTCTTTTCCTCTTCTTTTCACCCTTTTCCCCTTCTTTCCCACCTTTTCCCATTCTTTTTCCTCCTTTTTATCTCCTCTCTCTTCTCCTTCTTCCCCCCTCCCCCTTCCCCTCCTTTCCCCTGCTTTTTCCCTTCTCTTTTCCCCCTTCCTCTCCTCCCCTTTGACCCCTTCTATTCTCTCCTTGCTTTCCTACTATTTCCATCACACACCCTGCAAGGAAGATAAAGTAACTGTCCTGGCAGTGTTTTGTCACCTGTGAGCTACAGCATGCAGCAGATTTCAAGGCAGCTCATCCCTCAAAGAAGAGCTTCAGTACCCAATCCTAAGGCACTGGTCTCGACTCTCTGCAGAACTCCATCACAGGCAGCACTCAGTGATGGGTGTTTGGAGTCACAGTTTCCTCCACACGTTGCAAATTCGAGTCTCTGGGCTGTGCCAGTGTTAATTGAGGGCTGTCCTGCTCTACATCTGTATTTGTGCATGGAGAGCAGACCGTGCTCTGCAGCAGGACAACTGCATGTTGTGTGATGAGAAACTTCGCTTAATTCTTGCTATCTTGATAAAAAGCAATGCCTGGGGAGAAGGAATTCTGACCTCAGCCTTTCCCATGCTCGTTGAAGAGCTTTGTAATCTCAGTGCTATGACCCAGGTGTGATGCAACCACTGCTGTGCCTGTGGCTACGTGCACTGCTGCGTCCTGGTGGCTGGGAGTTGCAACCCACAGCACTGGCTGGGATACTGGATGGGGGATCCCAGGAGCCCTCAGCAGGGAGAGATGGAGGAGGAGGAGCACAGAGATGCAGCAGAGCTGCAACCCTGTTGGCAACTCACTGCAGGGGAGGTTCCCTGTGGGATGTGGAGAGGAGCAGAAAGAGTTCAGAGCATCCCAGAAAAGCATGGGAAAGTGCTGATTTTGAAGAAAAACCTAAATATATTCTGCCACTCAGGGGCCTTTTCTCCTCTATGAACCCAACTCTTGGAGTATTTTCCCAAGAGTGTGGCTATACCCATTTCCTGACCTTATGTACAAAGGCAATGGGGACATTTTTGAAAACCCTGTATCTTTCCCACTTGTCTTCCAGCAACTGTCACTACTTTGGAGCTTTCAGCCTGATAATGCTCTGCTTTCACTTCTCAATTAATTTCTCCTGATTAGTCACAGAACCACATCTAAAACTGCTGCACCTCCCCTGATTCTCCTCCACCTCCTCAAAATCAGATCTTGTCTTCAGTGCATTCTAGGAACGAGAAGAAACAGTGGATGTTGGAGACTTGCTATTTCTGACAGGTTCTTGGATAACTCTTATAGCTGTTGGATGGAAGACAGCTCCCTTCAACACAGCACATGGATGTGTGTGGATGGGCCTCTCCACCTCTTACAGTCTTCTAGAAAGGGAGTACCCCAAGTACAGCTCTGAGCAGAAGGGGAGTTCTTCCAGGTGTCTGCTCTTACGCTTACAGAATCATAGAGTCAGTAAGGTTGGGAAAGATCTCTAGGTTCATCAAGTCCAACCATCAGTCCTTCCACACCATGCATACTCACAGAATCAATGAGGTAGGACAAGACCTCTGAGACCATCTGGTCCAACCCCAACCCATCCCACCATGCCCACTAATATTCCCTCAGTGCCACATCTCCATGGTTTTTGAACACCTCCATGGACGGTGAATCCAACAGACTCTTCTAGAAGAGAAATTTCTTCTGATACCTAAGAACTGAGGTGAGACAGCTCGCAGTAAATAGAGTTTTGAGATGGGCTTGCATCCTTGGACAGGTCGGGTGGTTGTGCTGACTCCCCTGCCAATTAGTTCCCTATTGTTCTAAGTTCATGCAGGTACATCACACACCTGGCACAGCCCTTTGTGCCCCCCAGGAGCTGTTGTGCTGGCTGCAGGCTGCACGCTAAATGAATCCCAGACCTTTTCCCCTGTGCCTTACTCTTGCCTTGGCGTGCCCTGCGTTTTGCTTCCGGGGGTTTTCCTTGCTCAGTGAGGAGAAGCAACGCATTGCAACCCATGGCACCCTCCCCTTGCTGCTGCACTGTGCCTTTATTTGGCTGTTCATGGGGAGATTGAGGAGACATGAACAGGGAGCAAAAAACTGCACCTTGAACTGGGCAGGGCCCCATGAAAAGTGCTCGTTATCTGTATTTGCATTTGTTGTTCCATGCCTTTAATTAAAAGCTCCACGCAATAGAATAAATTACATATGCATTTTTATTAGACAAACACCAGAAAGTAAAGAGAGAAAGTCATGGGACACATTTTATATACAAAATCTGGCTGGAAAAAAAATAACAAAACAACAAAAAACCAAAAAGCTGAGCGGTAACAAGCGAGTTGCAGATTTAAAACAGAGGGATTTCCATTCCACAGCAGAGCCCTGCATGTGTGCAAGAGAGGAGGTTTCCAGTGAGGCTCCTGCGCCACAGGACATCGGGTTCAGGTGGCTCCTGTTCTGCTTCCCCTGATTATGCTGTGGTGAAGGACCCGTGTCGTGGTGTTCTCTGGCTAGGGAGGGAGAGCTTTAGCTCCTGTAACTTCTCCGGGAGGAGGAGGAGGAGAAGAACTTCATGCTGGAGCTGCTGCCCCCACCCAGGGCACTGGTCCCCCCGGACCCACTGCAGCTGTAGTTGTTCCCCATGCTGCACATGCCACCCCCCATGCTGAGGTTGCTTCCTCCTCCATATCCCGATCCCACAGTGGTTCTGGTCACGGCTGCAAAAGAGATAGAAAAGTAATAAGGCATTGGCTTCTCAGTGCAGGGGCATAAAAACGCTCAGGCGAGGTAATTTTATAGATTTTAGACTTACAGATATTCACTGGGACACCATCTCCAGCCAGCCTGTATGGGGAGAGAACAGCAACATAAGAGGACAAGGATACAGACGACAGCAGGGAAAAATACATGGGCCATTTTATAGGACTCCTGTAAATATTTGGTATTGTCCATGGATGCTCCTCACAATATCAGTCCATCACCTGACCTCCCCCTGCCCCTGGGTACCCCAATCGATGCGTGTACCTCATGAGGGAGCATCCCACCCATGTTTTAATATACCCCCCCACCTCCTCCCTCATTTTATACTGCTTCGTGCTCCAGCTTTTTGAACCCAATGGAATGTGTCCATCTCCAGGGAGGATCACACAGGGAAAAGTGAAATTTGCTAATATTTCTGCAGGGATTCTCTACCCACCTGCACTCCTCGCCCTCCAGCAGCTTCCTGTAGGTTGCAATCTCAATGTCCAGGGCCAGCTTGACGTTCATCAGCTCCTGGTATTCGCGCAGCTGCCTGGCCAGGTCTGCCTTTGCCTGCTGCAGGGCATCCTCCAGCTCAGCCAGTTTTGCTTTGGCATCCTTCAGGGCAATCTCCCCGCGCTCCTCAGCATCCGCAATGGCTGCTTTCAGATTTGCACACTAGGAGAGAGAAAATCTTGATCACATTCCCCTATCTGGCTCGTTCCTTTTCTACCCTATAATCACAAGGTATTATTCCAGCATCACCAATTTAACTAATTTTAATGACTTTTTTGTTTTTGATAGAAGTGTCAGCTAAGCAGAACTTGCCTACATTGCCTCTGATATTTTCTTTCCTTTCTTCCAATCTGGGGAGTAAATTGATTAAAAGCATGGATTTTCCTGCCCTGTACCTGTTTCTTCACGCTGTCAATCTCAGCCCGCAGCCGCTGGACGTGGCGGTTGAGCTCAGAGATCTCCTGCTTGGTGCTGCGGAGGTCGTCCCCGTGCCTGCCTGCGGTAGCCTGCAGCTCTTCATACTGCCAGGGAGAGGAGCAGAGGTCAGGGCAGAATCCAGCATTGTAGAGTGAAGAAGCATGTGAGTATCATGGAACCACGGGATGTTTGGGTCGGGAGGGTCCTTCAAGGTCATAGAACCATGGGATGTTTGGGTTGGAAAGGTCCTTACAACTCCCCCAGCCCCACTCCCTGCCCTGGGCTGGTCCCACTCCTCCATCAACTGCCCAGGGCCTCATCGAGCCTGGACCTGTGCACCTCCAGAGATGGGGCACCCACAGGTCTCCCTCCTGTTTCTAAGCTCGCTTTATGGATGCAAAGACTGCAGTGAGGTCTCTCTGAAGCCTTCCCATCTCCAGCTGAATTTCCCCAGCTCCCTCATCCCTTCTCCATAGGAGAAGATTTTCCTGGAAGAGTCAGCCCTTCTCTATTCAAGACAAGACATGAAGACAGAAGCACGGAAAGCCCCATCTCCTTCACCTTGGTTTGGTACCAGGACTCGGCTTCAGCCCGGCTGCGGTTGGCGATGTCCTCGTACTGTGCCTTCACCTCTGCAATGATGCTGTCCAGGTCCAGGTTGCGATTGTTGTCCATGGTCAGCACCACGGAGGTGTCGGAGATCTGGGTCTGCATCTGGGACAGCTCCTGCAATGGGAACAGGGTGAGCTTGCACTCGGTGGTGCCTCCTCATCCCTAAGGATGAGCGCGCCAAACTGGGAGAGGCTGCAGATCATTATCTGCACGGTTCTAAAGAGTGAAGAGTTCAGCATCTCCTGGGGGGAGGAATTAAGGGCTGTTGGAGGGAGGTGGGTGATAGTACTTACAGCTTCGTAGAGGGCTCTCAGGAAATTGATTTCTTCGGTCAATGCATCTGCCTTGGCTTGTAGCTCAACCTTGTTCATGTAGGAAGCATCCACATCCTGGAAGGTGAGAGAAGTGGACAGTGAGTTTTAAAGTCTTGTTCACATGTGTATCTCTGCAGTAACAGAGCAGAGAAGAAGTCATGAAGAAGACAGGGAAGAAGTCAAGAGGGCATCAAGAAGTACGGATGGGTTTGTGGATGGAGAGTGGATGGAAAGAGTCATGAGCCGATGAGCCACAATGCGCTCTCACCTTCTTAAGTGTCACAAACTCATTCTCTGCAATGGTGCGCCTGTTGATTTCATCTTCGTACCTAATGGAGGAGGCAGAGGGAGTATTGTTTAGGCAGGTAGCAGACGGAGGTGATTTTATTTTGCTGGAATGAACTTCCTTAACAGCAGTTTGCATACAATGTTCTTTTCTCCTACGTTGCATCTGAATAAGAGACCATGAGCGATTTCCTAGGCTGAACTAGTTAAAACAAGTACATTAAGAAAAAAAAAAAGTGAAAGCATCTCTGCTATTCCTTTTCTCCTCTTTCTGGCCGTTACTCATTCCCCTTCAGCCTCTCTTAAGCAAATTAAGCATGCTGCCTCAAAACTTTCAGACCTACCGTGTAATTTTTTCTCAGTGCTAGGTAATTTAGTTAATAAGCCTTTGATCATATTCTAAATTATTCCCTGAATATTTGTGCATTTGGATCTGTTGCTCCGTTACCATTTATCTTGAGAAAGTGGCACAGCCTTCACTGTCGGGAATTCCTTCACTGTTGGGATTCCCATGTCCCAGTGCTGGAGGGCTCACCTGGACCACCAGATGGCGGTAGGATGGGGGAAGCTGCACCCATCAGGTGGGCAGAGCACATGGACTTACTTCTTCTTGAAGTCCTCAACCAGGTACTGTGTGTTGACGAGCTCTCCCTCCAGCCTCCCCTTGTCGCTCAGCAGGCTGTTCAGCTGCATCCTCAGGTTGTTGATGTACGTCTCAAAAAGTGGCTCCAGGTTGTTCCGGACCGTTTTCATCCCCTGCTCTTGCAGCAGGCTCCACTTGGTTTCCAGCACTTTGTTTTGTTGCTCAAGGAATCGGACCTGCGAGAAGAAATATGCTGAAGATGTTTGGAAAGGGCAGAGATTGGGGTGAACTTCCTTTGCACTTGTGGGGTCCCAGTACCAGAGAGGGGTTGCAGTACCCTTTCCAACTGGTTTTCACAGATAAATTTATCTCTGATAGAAGCAGGAATTTGCAATTTGATTGCCATTTCCCTGCTCAGTGTTGCAAACAAGCGCTGGAACTAATTTCCTTTCCCCTTCTGCCCTTTGAATAAGTGTGCAAGATGCAAACAGCATGTTAAAAATCAGATGAGGAGTAAACAGGATTGGAACTCCTATTAAGAAAAGTGCCAGTTCCCCCCCTCTTAGCATTGCTCCTCCACTTTGAAAAACCTCTGAAATAATGCAGAATAATGCAGCATTTTGCTTGGAAGCAAGAGGAGCTGCTCAACCAGGAGAGAAATCAAGCAGGTGCTCTTGTGCATCTAATATGCTTAATGAGGAAATGAAGTGGACAGAAAGTGTCGGATCAGATTCTGCTATTTTGAGCAGTCCCAACTTGCTGGTACTGTTTCATTATGAGCTTTAAATGCCTTTGAGGAAAATTCAAGCACTAAGAGGCTTATATCTTCCCTTGTGCTCTTCCTTTTCTAGTCATTTCAGGATTGCTTGCATCTCACTTTAACTACCCAACACTTGTTATCCTGAAGTGCTCAATGGAGAGACCCCCAACACCTGCAGAGGGGTGGAATTGCCTTTGAGAGTTTTCTCTCTCCATTTGCCTCGCAGCAAATGAGAACCTCAGATGCTGGGTGATGCACTCATAGCAACCACTGCACAGCAGGTACCACTGCCTGGAGTTCCAGGGACAGAGGCATCTTCCAGTACCATTCCTGATCACTGTTCCTTCTTGCTCAGCTCATGTGCTCATCATGCAATAAGAATCCCCATCAAAACATGAGGGCAGGGAAGCTCATGGCTCACCTTATCAATGAAGGACGCAAATTTGTTGTTGAGGGTTTTGATCTGCTCCTTCTCCTCCTTTCGGATCCTCTGGATGCTGGGGTCGATCTCCAGGTTGAGGGGCTTCAGAAGGCTCTGATTGATGGATACCTCCTGGATGCCACCAGCAGGGAACCCAGGGCCTCCAAATGCCCCGTATCCGTAGCCCAGCATGCTCCCAGCACCTCCACCAAACCCTGCGGGGCCATAGAAGCCCCCACCCCTTCCAGCTGCAGAGATCCTCTTGCATCCACCGAAATTGTAGAGGCTTCTGCTTCCAAAGCCACCTCCAACCCTTGCAAAGCCACTGCCAGCATTGCAGCCCCCAGCACGGGTGACAGAGCGTGAGCTGAAGCTGGTGCGGCACGTGCCAGGCACGATGGCTGACGCAGCGCTGAAGCCACTTCTCCCCCTCTGGATCCTGACGGTGGACTGGCGAGACATGGCTGGTTTGGGATGGGGTGGATGCTACGGCACGAGGGAAGCAGTGGAGGTGCTGGCCTGGAGCAAGGAGTGGGAGGGAAAGTAGAAAGATGAACCTGTGCTCCTCACGGGCTCGGGAGAGCCCTTTTATGCATTTATGAGACTGGGATGGGTTTGATGAGGTGGATCGTCTTTCTGATTAATTAGGCTTGGCATGTCCAACAGCATTCTGGAGAGAGAACTCACTCCGCACACACGCCCTTCTGAAATAATACAGCCAAGTTCTGAGCAACAGTGGTATTGTTTGGGAATAACTGTCGCCTTCTGCTGTCTTTGTAGACGGGCAGACTCTGCACCATATCAAAGAGTTTGGGAGCTGCAATGAATCAGCCTGGTCACGGGAGGGAAACACCGTTTAGAGTGGCTGTCACTCAGCTCTTGGGATCTTCAGACCATGGGACTGCTCTCCTCAGCCCATCTCTGTGAATGGGGCTTTAAGAAGATGCAGTCCCTGGTGTTTTAGGGAAAGGAATGTGTTGGCAGGGCAGCGTTGTGCAGTCCTGTAGAACACTGCACGTTGCTTTATCCTAGGATTTTGTGGTGTCATGGAATCGCAGAATCCTTGGGTGGCTTGGGTTGGAAGAGTCCTTCAAGATCACAGCATCACGGAATCACAGTGTGGCTTGGGCAAGAAGGGAACTTCAAAGCCCCCACATCCCCGCTCCTTGCCTTTGGGCTGATCCCATTCCTCCATCAGCTTCCCAGGGTCTGTTATGGACTTGAGCAGCCCAAGATGCACCTATGCTTCTCTGGGCAGCAGTGTTAGGGCCTCACTATTTTCTGGGTGAAGAATTTCCCCCTCACATCTGACCTAGATCTCCCCTCTTTTAGTTTAAAATAAGCCACATAGTCCCCTTCTGCAGTACATCTACACAGCTACCTCTACTTTATCTCTATATAGGCTGAGTTTCTTGAGCCTTCTGAAAATCCTGCTCCAGTGGACATACCTTTCTGTGACTCTTAAAAATAATATATAGAGAGAGAGGGAGAGAGATAGGAAGGAATGAAAATGGAACATTTTGTCACAGTCTCTTGTTCACACCTGGACTTTGACAGCCCTGTTCACTGCTGCCATTGAGTTCTGTCACCGCTGTGCTGCTCCCCCAGCTTCCAGGCTTTCAAATTTGACATTTAGGAGGATGGAAATGAAAACAATGAGAAAAAAAAATAATAACTAAGGAGGAGGAAGGACTGTGGGAATGGAGCTGCTCTGAATCCACTGGCTCTATGGAAATAGAGTGCTCCAGGGCTGCTCCCAGCTCCCCGTCTATAAACATGATGTCATTCCCCAAAGATTTAATCAGCTCTCTGCTCATCTGAAAGAGGGATCCCATCAACCTGAATCCATGAGAAAAGTGCTCCACAGGATCTCTTGCCCAAATCCTTAGCAATCTGGGCACAAAGATACCTGGCCTGTCCTTTCCCATCCGTGTGTGCCAGTGAAAACGTTTGCTTTGCATGAGCATCACAAGCAGTTCAAGTAATGAGTCAAATCATGAAATCTTGATAAAGCCTCAATTTTGAGGGGGGAGAAGAGCATCTGGCCCTTTCTGTTTCTGGCAGGTCTGGAAAAGATGACTCATATGTAATTACACAAGAGGGTGACTTCGCAAAAGCATCCCCCCGAACAGCTTCATCTCGTGTTTCTGGAGCAGCAATCCTTTGTTTATTTTGGTAGCTGTTCCTTCAGCTCCTTCAATGAAGGGCTGAGCCTTCATTGTGATACTGCACCTTCCACACTGCAACAGTCCCAGTGGGGCTATTCGCCAGGTGTGCACATTTGCACACCCAAAGCCCTGTCATGCTTTGGGCATTGCTCCCTGGGGTGCCCTCCATCCCTTGTGGCTCCACCTGAAAGCTTTTCCCCGTTGCTGTGCAGCTCAGGAGGGCATCAGCACCAAAGGGATTCCCCGTCTTTTGCACAGCTGCAGCACCACAGGGCTGACTCAGGGTGTGCAGAGCCTGAATCCCACCCTTGGTTACCAACGAGTGTGATGAGTCAGTGCTTTCCTTTCCCCCCTCAGGCTCCATTTTACATATGAAACTCGTCTTTTTTAGCCAAAGAATACGCCAACCGCGTTGGAGTCCATTGTTAATAATAGTAATAATACAGCTCCTCCAACCAAATAAAAAGAAATTAATTTCTTTCCATTTCACATTTGCACTAGGGTGGAGGTGATGCGGTTGTCACTCATCTGGAAGGAATTTGAGAGGTAATTACAAAAGGCAGAACTGGGAGCACCAGGAGCTGCAGCTACAGGTCTGGGGTATGGGTGATGGCAGAGGGTCCCCACCCTGCCCTGTTGATGAAACATTGGGTTTCCAGGTAGCTCCCGGGGGAGTGTCTCCCCTGTGCCCTGCAGCTCCAAGCATGTGGATGAAATTGCTGCTCTAATGCAGATAGCTCACCCTGATATGGACTTCTCCTCTGGCAGAGTGTAAAAAGCAGAGTGGTGTGCTGTGCTGGGGCTGAGAGCCCCATAATGCAGCTCTGGAGCCTTTTCCACCCCTCTCCCTCCTTTCCTCCTCCAGGGATAGGTGGGAGATCCCTGGGGTGCAGCCTGGTATCACGCTAACATTGAGGTAATACACTCCTTTGAGGGTAGAAAAGTGAATTCTGGCTGCATCAGGGCAGTAACTACAACTTAGGTCCTTGTAGTGGGAAATTTGAGCTGTTTCCCAGCCAGAGAGAAAGAAGGCAGCTTCAACAAGTTGCCCCCAACACCTGCCCAGCATCCACCGTCAGATGATTCCACGGATGCATCTGCCATGGGAGCCTTCATTTCATGATGGATGTCTGCTCTCAGACAAGGTTGGAACCTTTTAGCAGTGCCTTCATGTGATTTCTTTGCAAAAATAGACATTTATAACATAAGAGCATGTCCTACTGACTCGTGTTGGTTCACTACCTAATCTCAGTTTAATTATCAGTAAAGTCAAGGCTATAATTTACGTTAATTGCTTAAATTAAAGCCTTTGGGTTAAACTTGGGCTGCTAACCTAAATTCAAACCCTGCTCGTTTTGGCTGTAATTTACCGTATCATCCCAACCCAACGCAGTCCCAATGATCACCCTGAGCTTTCTCCACGCTGCACCCCATGGTCGCTGCATGGCATGGCAGAGACCTCCAGGAGCAGAGAGGGAGCTGGGATTCACCTCCCTGAATCTCATTTCCCCAAGGAATGAATTGGGATGAGCTGCTCCGGAGCGTTCCCATAGGTGTTGCCCCGTGCTGGGCGTTGCAGTCCTTTGAGCCTGTTCCCAGCAGTATCTGGAGGCCAGTCAGCTGGAAGTAGTGCAGGACTTTGAAGTGTAGGTGTGACCAGCTTTCTCCAGATAATTGGTTTTTGTGTTAGTGCAGAGACACCAGTGCAGCTCAGGGTTTTGGAGTAACTTTGCTTTTATTTTTGCTGTTGTTGCAGATTGAGGAGGTCTCCTTTCAGCCCGTGGCTTGTTGCATCCCAAAAGAGCCTCTGACCTTGGTGGGTATATATCCTTATCCCGCTCTGCATTCAACACAGCTGCTTGCATGGAGGTACCCAAATAATATGGAATAAATAATACCCAAATAAATAATCCTAAATACCCCCAAATTATTCTGTTGCTCCTTCCGAGCACCTTTAATGCCCTGGATAGGGCTCTGTGACCCTTCTAACCCAAGCCATGACCTTCTAACCCATTCCATGGTTCTATGATCATAAAGAGCCCTTCCAGCCCAACCATTCCATGGTTCTACGACCCTTCCAAGTCAAACATCCTATGGTCCTATGGTCTGTAAGGACCCTTCCACCCCAGCCATCCTATGGTTCTATGGTCTGTAAGGACCCTTCCAACCAATCATCCTATGGTTCTATGATCTGTAAATACCCTTCCAACCCAACTATCCTATGATTATGATTCTGTAATCTCCTTTCTCATGGCCCTAGGGTGAATCTTCTCTCATTCTAAAGCTGCAGTGAAAGTGAAGTTGCTGGATACCTCATGATTTCAGATTAGCATCCTGCACCAGCACCGCTTCCAGCTCAGGGTTTCTTGCAGACAGACCTAGTGCTTGTGCAAAATTTAATTTCTCCCAATTAAAACAAACAATACCATTCTCTGAGCAGGTAAAATCAACAAGTATTATTCACATATTCTAGGAGGTGTCTCCGAGCGGGGTTTTGCTCTCCAAACAATTGACTGATCCTTGTGAATTGTAGCAGGGGTGTTGTTCCTCTGCTGGATTTACTGAGTCCTCCGTCACCTTCCCTGAAGCCATTTTGTGTCTTGCTTCATTTCCAGGCTGCATGCATTTGCAAATTTTTTTAAAAATAATAATTTTGTTAGGAGAAAACCTTGTCTGGAGGGGACCCTGCATGGTAGGACCAACACTTCCAGCCTGTCAGCCAGCTCTGTGCCTTTCCCTTGCTCTGGGTCCCCACCTACTGGAGACAGCAGGCTGGGTTGTCGGGTGCCTGCACACCTCTGGCTTTTTGGCAGTGGGGCTGCTCCTTCTCCTCCCCCTCCTTTTGGGTACCCATGGTTGGAGCTGGTAGGGCATGAGGGATGGTGGGTGGATACTGGGAAGGAGTGAGATGCTCACCTTAGGACATCCCTCCAAAGGGCTGTGGGGATTTTCTGCTCGTCTCCTTCATGCTGCAGCTCTCAGAGCTTTGTGCCGGGTTTCCAGTGCCCATCGCTGCTGTTGTCTGGATTGCCACCCACTGAGTGGTGGGATCCCATCCCAAACCTGCTCCCAGGGCTCACTGAAACCTTCTGGGGAAGTGAGTGGAAATGGAGCTGCCAGGTCCTGCAGGTTCTCTCAGAATGAAGCTGAGGTCCCAGAACAGCCCTTCCAGAGCAGCATTTAAGTGAGATATTACAGTGCAAGGGAAAACTCCACATGCAAGCATGCAGTGAGATATGTGAGATATCAGACACTTTGCCCTGCTCCTGCCCCAATTTGCTCTTTGCTGGTACTGTCCTCCTCCCTTAGGGGGTGACATTTCCCTTCCTAGGGGCTCAGTGCAGAGCACCCCCCCTCCTCAGTGCAGTTCTTGATGTCCTGGCTGTGGTCCTCATGCTCGCACTGGGCTCCTTTGCTGTAAGGTTTGCTCCATGCTATGCCTGCACTAACTCAAGGATCTTGGCCAAGCCTTTGACAATCACCTTCCTTTCCCCATCTCCTGTGTTTTCTCACTCCTGCAGGGATGAGAAAAAAAGACAGCCCCATGGTGGGGTTCCTCCAGCTTTTGTCTTGCCCAGAAGCAGCTTGTCCTTTCTCTGTCTCAGTTCTCTGTCCAGCCCACTCTCCCTAGAACCACACTGGAGTATGAGTCCTAGCCCCGAGCTGAAGGTAGTACTCTTAGAATCACAGAATCACACAATGGTTGGGTTGGAATAGACTTCAAAGATCACAGAATCATAGAATGGATGAGTTGAAAGGAACCCCAAAGTCCTCCCTCTATGGGCTGCTCCCACCCCCCATCAGCTGTCCGTCCCTATCCACGGCCATGAGTACCTCTAGGGATGGGGCACCCACACGTCTCCAGGCAGCTGTGCCATGGCTTCACAAGCTCTGAGTAAAGAATATTCTCTCCACATCTCACCCAAATCTCCTATCTTTTAATTTAAAGCCATTCCCCCTTGTCCTATCACTGCCTGCCATTGTATAAAGCTGTTCTCCTGTTTACAAGCTCCATGTAAGTACTGGAAGGCTGCAATGATATCTGCCTCCTCGGAGCCTTTTTGTCTCCAAACCAATTCCCATCAGAGAATGAAGCCAAGAAGCAGCAGTTTTTAAAAATGACAGATGCTCTTTATTGGACAACACAGTATGGTAGGAAATGAAGAGGCTATAGCCATGGAGGCAAGAAGTTGGAGATCAGTGGCAATTCTTGTATGCAGAAAGCAGTAACATTTCCCCTGGGTTCCTGAGAGAATAGAAGGGGCTGGAAAAATCTTTTAATTGCAGCTGAAAGGTTTGGAGGTTGTAACATGTGATGTGATTAGGGGCTTGCAGAGCCTCTTGGGGCTCCTGTCCTTGCCGAGGACCTGGGGCTGAGGTTTCACAGGGCTGTCCCCTTGCTGTGAGGCGAATGAAACAAATGCATGTGGCTTCCCCCCATTCAGCAAAGTGCTTTAAATGCTTTGCATTAAATACATGATCTCATGAGGAGGAACGGAGGAGGGCTGGCATCGGGTACCGTGCCAGTTCCCAAAGCCCCATTGGTGACCCGCTACAACCTGTGCTTTGGCCAAAGGTGCTCCAGATTCTCACAGTGGGGTCCTGGTCTCCCCCCAGTACCCCGAGAGAGGCTGGCGAAGGACGGAGGAAGGAGAGGGCGCAGCACAGCTATGTACAGCACTGATTGGCAAGGCAGCACGTTGCTTTTGGAAGGCAGGAAACACACCGTTGGCCGGAACCATCCTTATCTGATGGTCTTTTTGCTGGTAGTGGTCTTGGAAACGATCCGCACGCTGCCTCCCGTGCTGGAGCTGACCCCTCGGCTGCTGCTGGAGCTGAAGTTGCTGCCTCCGCCATAGCTGTAGCTTCCACTCCCGCCCCCGAATCCTCCACCGCCGCCACTGCTGCTCATGGTGTAGCTGCCGCCGCCTCCCATGCTGAGACCACTGCTCATGCCAAGACCACTGCTCATGCCGAGACCTCCACCCATGCCGAGACCACTGCCCATGCCGAGACCTCCTCCCATGCTGCTGCCGTAGCCCATCCCGCTGGAGCTGCTCACTACAGCTGCGAGAGAACAGGGATGAGTGAGTCCACCCCACCATCCTGCAAGTCCCCAGGGTGGGGGGACAAACCCCGGCAAACAAGGGTGGGAGAGGGGGAGATACTTACAGACACTCACGGCTCCAACGCCCTCTCCGGCGAGCCTGGTGGAAAAGAGGAAAGGAGGAGGTAACGCAGGCAAGATGCAGTGGTACCTGGGAGGGTCTCACTGCAAGAGCATCCAGTTGGGGAACTATCCAATGGGGGACCATCTAAATGGGAGACTATCCAACTGAAGGGCCATCCAATTGCAGGGCCTTCAAACTGGGAGACCATCTAATTAGGAGAACATGCAATTGGGGAATCATTCATCTAGGGGACCACTCAGTTGGAGGACCATCTCAATGGGGAGTCATCTAGTTTGGGGACTTTCTGTCTGGAGGCCCATCTAATTAGACTTTCCTGTCCTTCAGTAGGGTCCTTCCACTGCTGGGCTATGTCTGCAGCACATGTGGAAGTGGCAATTCTCATTTTTCTTAGTGCATCAGATGCCAACAACTGGAGGAACCCAGCTTTTCCTAGAAACCTCACATTTCAAAACACCCATCTCCTCCCTCTGTTTTTATGTTCCTTTATGCTCCAGATCCTTGGGGTAAGCTGAAGCTTTGGGCCCAAAGAGAGGTGCAGCATGAAGGGAAAATGATATTTGCTGATATGTCTGCAGGGATTCTTCACTCACCTGCTCTCCTCGCCCTCCAGCAGCTTCCTGTAGGTTGCAATCTCGATGTCCAGGGCCAGCTTGACATTCATCAGCTCCTGGTACTCACGCAGCTGCCGGGCCAAGTCTGCCTTGGCTTTCTGCAGGGCATCCTCCAGCTCGGCCAGTTTGGATTTGGCATCTTTCAGGGCCATCTCCCCACGCTCCTCTGCCTCAGCGATGGCTGCTTGGAGACTGGCACACTAATACAGAAGGAAGCAGATAGCTGTTTAAGTTGGGCTACCCAAATCTGAAGTCCTGTGGTACTGTTGGTGCTGCCGGGGGGCTCCAGCATAGCACTGGGATTTGTGGAGCTATCAGAGAGGTGTCAGAGGGTGGGTGACTGAAGAGCCACAGTCCTGTTCCACGTGAAAATGAGCAGAATCTGCATCTCTTTGTTTTGCTGGCATGATGCAATAGCTCACAGCTTGCTTCCCCAGCAAGAAAACAGCAATCACAGCACATCCTCACATCAGGGGACATCCTCCAGTAGGGAAAAGAGATGGCCATGCCTGCCAAGGCAGGACATGGGCTTCCATCCCTCCCCAAAGCTAGCAGCATCCCCCCTACCTGTTTCTTCACACTCTCAATCTCGTTGCGCAGCCGCTGCACCATCCGGTTGATCTCTGAGATCTCCATCTTGGTGTTCCTGAGGTCATCGCCGTGGCGCCCAGCTGAGACCTGCAGCTCTTCATACTGGTGGGCAGAAAGGAGGAAAGCAGTGGTGAGGGACCATGGGGCTGGGAATGGTGTGTACCAAGTCTGGGTGCAGGTTGAGGGCGACCTCTGAGCACATTGCTTAGCCCAGAGTTGGCAAACTATGGCTTGCATAGAGCACCTGTGTGTTGTCACTTGCTTTAGGAACCTGGAAGGGAAAGAGCAGTGCCCTGTGTTTAAGGCCAGGTCTACCAGCAGCTCTGTGAGCCCAGAATCAATGTGGGTTGGGTTCACAGCAGGGAAAGTCTGCTGCCTTGTGCAGCGGTCCACCAGCAAACGATGGCAATCTGTATGCAAGAGCCCATTGCAACGTGCACGGAACGTTAGTCAATTTCTTGTGCAGCGCTGAGGTCCTTCCTTGGTGAGTACCGCTTCCCTTCAGCTAATATAATGTAGCATCTGTGGTCCCTGTCACCCACCTTGTTCTGGTACCAAGCCTCTGCCTCAGCTCGGCTGCGGTTGGCGATGTCCTCATACTGTGCCTTCACCTCTGCGATGATACTGTTGAGGTCCAGGCTGCGGTTGTTGTCCATGGACAGCACCACGGAGGTGTCAGACACTTGCTGCTGCATCTGGGACAATTCCTGCAGAAGATAGAAAAAAAATGAGTTAATTGTCTGCTTTCTGCAGTGGAAAACATAAGATATCTTCAGAGCTCTGTCTTCCAAGAGATGCAATTTCTTGCATTTCTCTCTATCTCTCTTGGCACAGGTCATCATCCTGGAGTTGTTCAAGAAACGTGGAGATGTGGCACTTGGGGACAAGGTTAGGGGGCATAGTGAGATGGATTGGGGTTGGACTGGATGATCTTAGAGGTCTTTCCCGACCATAATGATCCTATGAGTCTACAATTCTTCTCTGATTCTACTTATCCACAGTTTTCTATCTTATGGCTGCACTGCGATTTCTAACAGGCAGCGATGCTTCCTCCTTCACTGCCGTGCAGCACTGAGTGTGGAGCCAAGGGACGTTGTGCAGAGAACTGACTGCTCACCGCTTCGTACAGAGCCCTCAGGAAGTTGATCTCATCTGCCAGCCCATCTGCTTTGGCCTGCAGTTCCACCTTGTTCATGTAAGCACCATCCACATCCTAAAGAAAAGCAAAGCAAAGCTTCAGGTGCAAACCCACAGCAAAGCTCAGATTCATGGGGATCTGACTGGAGTCAGAATTGCTCCCTTACTGTGGGTTTCCGTAGTAGTACTCAGCCCATTACCCACTCCTGGTTGTGCTTACGCTGTATTTCACTGCCTGACCCTGCTGTGATGCCGCAGGACCCCATCTCCCAGCAGCTCTGCTTGGGCTCAGCCCTTTTATTCCATTCCCCCTTCCCTCACTCCCTCTTTACTCACCTTCTTGAGCACCACGAACTCATTCTCTGCACCCGTGCGCCGGTTGATCTCATCCTCATACCTGCAGAGATAAGAGAGGTTTTGGGCAGCAGCAAAGAACCCCACAGAGTGCAGAGATGGGTCCCACGTCACTCAATGTGGCTCGCGGATTCATCCTGCACTCCCACTTCTTCACAGAGCAGATACAGAGCAAATGGACACTGGGGCTGCACCTTCAAGGACTCCGTGTGTGAGAAGTCCTGGCTGAAATCTAAAGAATCCAATTGCTGCCTTTAGATCCAAGCTCATGCAGGGTTGCGTGGCATGGCGCTCGTAGAGACGTTTGCCCAAAGCAAAGATGTACAAAAGCTTTCAGTGAAGCTGGACTGCAATACCTAGCAATGTGACCGTTTGATATTTGATGTTATAATAATGCTAATGGCTCTGAATAACCCACCACAGCATTTAATTTACTAAAAAAGAAAAAAAAAAGGAGAAGCCTGTGATTCTTTAACCACGGTTGTGCAAGGGCAGATCGTTAAGTAAGCCTCAGATTATGTCTATGAGGAACTTTTTATGTCTCTGAGCAACATCCTCTCATCAGATAATCAGGGCAGGGCTTAGCTAGAAAGCCGACAAAGCATGTGGGCTGCTGTGGCAAAGAGCTGGCTTTGAAAGGCAGGTTTGTGCCAGTCCTCCAGCTAATGCTGGTGAGCATCTCCCTGCAGTTGGAGCTTGGGTGGACAGCAGGCAAGGTCAAAATGAGCCTGAGGATGAGGAACCAGATCCAGACTTGAAATAAAACATGTTCTCTTGCCCAGGCAGTACTCCAAGATCCAGACAATGCCCTTTGTGGTATTAGCTGATGCTTGCAAAAGGCTCTAACTCATACCGAGACCTGAAATGCACCCAAGGACAACATACCAGGAGCTGGTTTGTGTCAGCCCATCCTGTCAGATCTAACTAGCTCCCACCCCCAAAATCACACGCTATTCACATGCTTAGCTCTCTAATATTACCATGTCCCTGTACTTCAGGGTGTTTTACTCAAATTTACAGTTTACCAGATCTCGTTGCATGAGAGAGAAACTGTTCTCACCGCTGGAAAACAAATTGCCGCGCCTAAAAAAAGCACCTAAATGTCCTCAGAGCCAGTGGGCACCCACCAACACGTCCCAAAAATGATTCATCCCCCTCTGCTGGGTGACGGGGCTGACAGCCTTCCCCAGAGGTTTACTTTAAGGGGAGCTGAGGCAATGGGCAAAGAAAAGAGCTGAGCATCTTCCATGTGATTGCAACTAAGCGAGGCTGAGCATGTGCGGTTGCCTGGGCCCCTTTGGAAAGGTTGAGATTTCCTTTGCTACAACAGAAAATTAGGGATTTGGGGAGCTGGCTACATTTTATCCCTGTTTTCATGTCTAGTGCAGTCATGAGCTATACTTTTTGCTATTTACAGGTGATATTTTGGGAAGCCCAAGGGTTCAGACCATGGCTCCATGACAGTGCATGAGCATGTCCTGTGCTAAATGCCAAACCCGTGTACAAGAAACCCAACATGAATAGAGGTAACCAAGATCAAATTTTGCTGCTCTGTGTTCATTTTGCAAACTGCAAGAGGAGCCCAGTGCGAGCACAAGGCATGCACCACAGAGCCCAGCCCCTCTGAAATCAATTTTCTTGTCTGTTGACCTACAGAGCGCAATCTCTTACTTGTTCTTGAAGTCCTCCACCATGTCTTGCATGCTCCGCAGCTCCGAGTCCAGCCGTCCCCTCTCCCCCATCAGGCTGTCCAGCTGCCGCCTCAGGTTGTTGATGTAGGACTCGAAGAGGGGCTCCAGGGACTTCCTGGTGACCGTGTGGCCCTGCTCTTGCAGGAGGCTCCATTTGGTCTCCAGCACTTTGTTCTGCTGCTCCAGGAAACGCACCTGGGGAAACAAAAAATGACTGTAACCCACCAGAAAGAGAAGAGGGAGAGCATGGAATGAGGATCTTCCCACAGGAATTCAGGGCACTGAATTCTCCAAAGAAGCACAAACAGCTTAGGGAGAATTTTCAAGAGTTATCAAGCTGCCAAGCATCCGCGTTTGCAATTCTACGTGTTTCTCCCTGCACTGGATGCTCAGCCCTCCTTAATGGTTTAAACTGGTGCTATCTTGTGGAGGAACTTTGCCCCTTCACAATCCATGGAGGATCCATCAGTGCCTGGGCAGTTTTTTAGGCAAAGGGGGATTTGCTATGTCAGCAAAGCGAGGCTCTGGAAATCTTGTCCTTGCAAAGAGCATAGGACAATTCTTAACGTTCAGCCAAGCATGGATTAGTTCAGGCAAGCCCTGAATCCAAAGAAAGCTCTTCCTGCTGTTCTTTCCTGAGGCAAAAGAGAATGTGCCCGGGCTGAGACCCAGCTCTCACCTTGTCGATGAAGGAGGCGAATTTGTTGTTGAGGGTCTTGATCTGCTCCCGCTCATGTGTCCGCACCTTCTGGATCTCAGGGTCAATGTCCAGCTTGAGGGGTGCCAGCAGGCTCTGGTTGACAGTCACTTCGTGGATGCCACCGGGTGGGCAAACGGGGAACCCGGGGCCGCCACGACCACCAAATCCAGTACCTCCCATCCCAAATCCACCCAGCCCATAGCCACCACCGCCACCAGCTCCTCCTAAGCCCAAAGCAGCGCCTGCTCCTCCACCATAGCCCAGACCAAAGCCAGATCCTCCACCAAAGCTGTATCCAGCTCCACTCCGCAGCCCTCCGCCAAGGGAGATTCTCTTGCTTCCACCCAGGTTATAGAGACTTCTGCTGCCAAAGCCGCCACCGACTCCGAAGCCTCCTCCGCCTCCAGCTCTTCCTCCTCCAACTCTGGAGACAGAGACGGAGCTGAAGCTGCTCCGCGTGCCACTGCCACCTCCCATGATAGCAGAACCTGAGCTAAAGCCCCTCATGCCCCCTCCGGTGGAAGATCTGTATGAGATCCGGCTCATGGCTCGTGCAGTTGGAAACACAAAGAGCAGGAACGAGGGAAAGAGCTGGTGATAGAAGCTGAGCAGCAGGAGAGCAGCAGAGGGCAACGGAGACAGAAACCCCTGTGATGGGAGAGCCTGGGAGCCTCCTCTTTTATCTGCTTGGAAAACTTGGCACGGGGATTCAGAACTTGACGTGCCTTGCAGCAACTTGCCTTGTCAAACACACCTAGGCTACGGCAAGGTGCTGAAAAATGCATTGTTTGCAGGCAAGAAAGTAACGGAGCAAGGGAGCTCCCCCCACCCCCAGAGCCCTGAGTCACCGAAGGAGAACTGGACGGGATCGGTACGAGCAGGACGCGGCACGAAGCTCCCAGAGCCCCAGGAGATCCTGTTCTCTATGCCAAGCTCACCCGTTGGAGCAAGCTTCCCTGCTCTGAAGTGAGGGGAAATTTGGGATTGAGCACACTGAATGCAAAAAAATAAAAATAATAGAGGCTGATGTCCCCAGGAGCACCTGGTATGGGGTGTGTTGTGTTACATGGTGACCAAATGGGGGCTGATGTCCCACAGACCACCTGATTTAGGGCTATGTTGTGTTACATAGTGAAAAAAATGGGGGCTGATGTCCCCAGTGCTGCCTGATTTGGGGTTTTGTGCCCTAGGGAGAGCTGGCAGCGGGGGAGGAGGATCTCCTTCCCAGCTCTGTACTTTTGGTTCCTCTTGGAAAAGAGCTCTGAAGGATCAGGGGCTGAGTGGGAGGTGTCTGCTGGTTGTTTTAGCAAAAATCTGTCTCTCCATTGCAGGAGGAACAGAGAAATCAACTGTTGTTGCTTTCAAAGACAGCAAGGGACTCACCTTTCCAAAATAACACGAAACTGCATTAAATAGTGTGCTGACCCCTCTAAAGAGGATATTACAGAGCTACTGGGGAGTTGTTCTTGTTCCGAGCCTTCCAGCCAACTGAGGGCTCAGAAGTTCCCTAGGAAGCTGTTTTGTATTGCTCCCCCCATTTTGGCCCTCAAACCCGCCGTTTCCACGTCACTGCGCTCAGCAGAGGGGAACTTACCACTTTCTCCCCCATCTCCCTCCCACCCCTCCCTCGCTCTGCTGAGATCATCTCGGATGGTTTTCTCCTTGATCCTGAGCTCAGGTTGAACCCGCCCTGCAGTGGGGCTTTGGGATGGTGCAGGAGCAATGGATGGCATCTCTTCTCGTGACCCCAAAAGGATGAGTTGCACATCCCCCACCCACCCAAACCCATCTGCAACGCAGACCCAGCCCAGCTGCCATCCGTGTGCCAGATAAACCAACAGCACACAGCAGAGAGATAAAGCTGAATCAAAGAGATTTTAAAAAATTGGCTACGTGAGCAATAAGTACGGAACATAATCCAGGATGAGTCGCTCCGGGGTATCTGCGGCATCTCATGGCTTGTTTCTGTTGATGTGTTTCCAGCTGCCGTTTGTTCTGTCTGGGAACTTGAAAGAACCTGAGCAGAAGGGATTTTTGATTTATTTATTTTATTTTTGTTTTGTTTTGTTTTATTTATTTCCTTGCTGCAATCATAAAAGCGCTCCCAACCCTCATCCATGCCATCCACTGCGTGATGCCAAAGATGTGAGTCATGGGCATGGAGCGCACTGGGGTGAGCAAAAGGAGTGGGGCCAGGCTGTAGCGAGGGGGTGCTCTCAGCTCAGGAATGGAGGCACTGAAAACACCAAATCTTCGCAGGAAAACCAAGCCCACACCCACCTATCCCGAAGCTGAAGGAGCTCTGATTTCACAGCGATGCACAGCGACTGTAGAACCCAATCCTAACGCCAATTCCAGGAATGCTGCCGGGGCTATTGACATGAAATAAATCGTGCTGGGAGAACAGCACGTGTGCAGAGGTTGGGTTCCTGGTGGATGGGTCCATCGCTGCAGATGGAGCCATGGACAGGGGCCAAGCAGCAGTGCGGGGAGCATGCCTTTGGCTCCTAGAGCTATGCAAAGTCACACCTGGGAACCAAGCACAGTGTTGTAATTAACACAAAAAGGCTTCGTGGCAAGGCAAGGCACTCATTACCTCCCAGCTCTTCTAGGAAAGCCTGTTGCTGCAGACAGTGGTAATTAAGTTGAATATTACAAAGGGTTCAGTGAGCTGGTTAGGCACAGAACTCGAGGAGAATTCTTGCAGTGTCTCACTCCTTGCTCTCTCTGTAGCTGCCCAGGGCTTCTGCGTTTACCCTCTTTGGGCATCCCCACCTCCTTTCCTCCCTTTTGGGCATCCCCACCTCCTTTCCTCCCTTTTGGGCCCTATCTGTTTTTTCTTCCTTTTTTTTTTTTATTTATTTATTTTTTTTTTGCTTTGTTTATTCTCCTAGGCATAAAAGATGCTCGCAGTGTAAGGTGAGCTGAGGTTAGGTCATCCTTAGCTGCATTAACTCCTACCACGCTCTGCAGAATCTCTGCAGATTCTATCCTCAGCACAGGGCGCACAACCCGAGATGACTCACCATTTATTTTTAACCTTTGTTCATTTTTGGTCTCTTTGCCCCTAACACCATCCTCTGTGAGGGCTGAGAAGAGAGGATTTTCCTCCAGATTTTGGTCTCTTTCACTGCAGCTCCTTTGATTTTTGGGTGGTGCTTCTGCACTCGGTGCTGCCGGATCCTGGCGAGGTTTTGGGTGCACGCGCCTGCCCTGGGGATGGAGGGGGCAGAGCAAAGCGTCTGGCCCTTTGAAATGCAATAAGCTGTGAGGGTTTGTCTGAGGGTTCTTTTTTTCTTTTCTCTTCTTATTTTTTTCTCCTTCCCCTTTTACAATCACCAAACCTGCAGGCCTCATAGGCTGCTCTGCTCCATCACCAAAACCACCCTCAGTGCAGACTGTCCGGATGACATCCTCCCCCAGAGCCCTGCACTCTGTGTCCCTTGAGAAAGCCAAAATTAAACACTGTGTGACCTTTATTTCTCCTGTTTTCACTTTTGCCTGAGCTTTTAGAGCTGTCCCAAACCCTCTTTTCTGGAAGAAAGGCTTTTGAGTTAATCCTAATGATCCAAGAAGAAAACAATGCCTGATTTTTTTTTTTTTGTCCCCCTTCCTCCCCTTTTCCCATATGCCTCAATTCAGTTTCAGACAGCACACACCTGATTTCAAGCATTTAATTGCATTTTCCTTTTCAGTTTTGAAACTTTTTCCCTAAAGTGAAACCAAATCCTCACCCCACTCAGTTTTCTGCAGGCTCATTCTGCTGGTTCTGCTTTGGAAGAAAAGCACTCAGGAACAAATACATTACAGTTGTTTTATTGGACACGTTCCAAAAGAGAGAGGAAGGAAAACATAGCATTGTTTTGCTACCGTTGAAGTATAAAAAGCTGCAAATTTCTTTGGTATTTTCATCAAAATAAAGGCAGAGTGGAGAACTACAGGGGCAGATCCCATCAGAAAGGGGCACCTTTGGCACCTGCTCCCGATTGCCACATTTTCCATGTGCTGGGCTGAGATATGAATGCATTTTTTATCCAAATGCATCTCTTTTGGCCCAGAAACGCATACCCCATGGAGCGGATGAGGTCCCCCTGGAGCAGCATGGACGTGGCCCTCTGTGTGGATTTTTGCAGGGATCTTTTGTCTCAGCAGGCTTTTACCTTGATTGCTGCTGCTGACACCATGGGGGAAGTCAGTGAGGTTTGGGCGTTGGGGTGATCTCAGCACTTTTTAAGCCATTTCCACAAAACCTAGCATGAAGCAAGACAACAACCCAATGTAACTGCAAAGGCTGATCTGCTGAAAACCTCTGTGTTCTGGTTATTTTTTAAAACAATCCCAAAAATCTGATAACTTAGGGAACAAGGCCTTTCTCACCTGCTTGGGATCCATCAGAGGAGACCAAATGCACCTGCAAGGTTACATGCAAGGTGCTGCTATGGGGCAAACATTTATTTGGGAAGAGAAAGGACAGAAGTGAGAGTGGTTCAGGGTTCTGTGGACATCTCAGGGATCTTTCCAGATGCTGTGTGGTTGCTCAGCACATCTGGAAGCAATGCACTTTTCAAAGCTCGGCCACAGGTGGGGAAAAGAGGGATATTTTCCATCGAACTCAGTGACTTAGAAGTGTCTCCTCATGTGTTGCCATTGGAAGAGGTGTCTTAAGAGGAGCACTGAGCTTGCAAACCACTGCCTGGGATCTTTCAGGAGCCTCCCAGAGTGTTTCTGCATAGCAGAAAAACCCCTCACAGATGTATGGAGATGTGTGAAGATGAGTTACTTGACTTGAAGGGATGAGTTTGATTTGTTCCAGCAGCCTGGGAGAAGCCATGGGAGAAGGGAGAAGCAGCCTGGATGGAAGCCATGTTCCCAGCCCGTCCCTGGGCTTCTGCAGGCCAGAACAATGAATGTAAAACCCAGTTATTGCGTCTGAGCTGCTATTTGATCTGTGCTGCTGAGGGCCATCAGCTAGCCGCAATTACAGGCTGCTCACCCTCATTAAAAAAAAAAATAATAAAAAAATTCCCCATTCCAAAAATCTTGTAGACCTGTGTTTTCCTTTGAAACCTGTTTTGGTGCTTCAAGTTAGCTCGTGCTTGCTGCTTTCCTGAGGTGGAACCCAAATGCTTAAGAACTACAGCAGAGAGGTGATGGGTGCGGGAGCGGTACGGGAGTGATGCAGCAGCGATGGCTTTGGGGGAAGGGGTCTGGCAGCATCACTTTACTCGGGTTGTGAGGCATTCTTCAGGCTTTGGCTCTTTATGCTCTTTTTGCTGGAGGAAGTTTTGGAGACGATTTTCACACCTGGATTGGTGCCTTTTGCGCTCCCAGAGCTGAAATTCCCTCCTGCAGAACTCAGCCCAATTCCGCTGCTGCCTCCTCCAAGCCCGAGCCCGCTGCCACCTCCATACCCACCTCCGAGACCACCCCCACCTCCAAGTCCAAGTCCTCCTCCGCTTCCAAAGCTGTAGCCTCCACCACCTCCTCCAAGACCGTATCCGCTTCCACCACCTCCTCCAA